TTAAGAGAGACTGATGTGGTGACAAACTCTTATAATCCCAGCCCTTGAGAGGCTGAGGCAAGAGGACCACAAGGTGCAGGCCAGCCGGGGTTCCACAGGGAGGCCTAGTCTCAAACAGAAAACAAACCTAAACCACAAGCAGTCAAAAAGAAAGGGAAAACATGAGTTATCTACCTATCATTCATCCATCCACCATCTGTCTGTCTGTCTGTCTGTCTGTCTATCCAATTTCTTGCTCTCTTTATTTTTGGTTTTAAGACAAGATTTCATCCTATAGTTTGTATTAAGCTGGAACTCACTATATAGCACAAGATGGCCTTGAAATTATAGTGATTTTACTGTTTCAACCTTGTGAGTGTTGGCTTATAGACTTGAGATACCATTCCCAACTATATTAACAAATGTCAATTTCCTTGCTTGCTATTTGAACTTGCATTGTCTGTTTATCTGTACCCCCTCTCCCTCTCCCTCTCCCTCTCCCTCTCCCTCTCCCTCTCCCTCTCCCTCTCCTTCTCCCTCTCCCTCTCCCTCTCCCTCTCCCTCTCCTTCTCCCTCTCCCTCTCCCTCTTCTTCTCCCCCCTCCTCTCTCTCTGTCTCTCTCTCTCTCTGTCTCTCTCTCTGTCTCTCTCTCTCTCTCTCTCTCTCTCTCTCTCTCTGTGTGTGTGTGTGTGTGTGTGTGTGTTTTTCTAGACAAGGTCTTCTTATTGGCTCAGCCTGGCTGAGGTTCAAACCTGAACTTGGTAAAATGTGAAGCCAGGCTTACTATGCCTTTGGGATGTCAGCTCCCAATTCCTTAACTTCCTTTGTTTTTTTACTGTAAATTGAGCAGTCCAATCATAGCACTTAATGGTTTTGAGGCATTTGCTTGCACTCCCAGAGCCCACAACAGGAAAACAGCTTTCTCAGGGGAAATTGGGAATCGGGAAGTAGGTAGGTATTGGTTATTCTTTTAGGAAAAAACCATGGAAATACATCCATAAGAATGAGTAGTGATGGGTATTGTCAGGATGGAGAACTTGAATAGAGGACATTAGTGTATTCTAATAATAAGTAAATGTTACAGATTCTGTGACTTTCTCAGCTCACTTGGTTGGAATTGTTAATGTTTTTCTTTCTATTTTGAAACAGTGTAAAGTAGCCCAGGTTGGCCTTGACCTTGCTTTGTTTCAGAAACTGGTTTAGAACTCCTCCTGCCCTTCCCACTCTTGGACTCTTTGTCTTCCTGCTTCCCCCTCCCAGATGCTGGGATTACAGGCGTCTTCTATCACACTCACAGTTAGTACATTTAAAAAATATTATCTGAGCTTGTTTTTCATATTCAATATCTTTCTCTTTAATATAACGGCAGGCCTTCTTCCATACCAGCACTGCCAGAAATGACAAAGTCGTGCTAGATGTTAAGGCATGGCCTTGAAGAAGATCCGTGGGCTTTCTCTACCTTCGTTTCTTCAACTGGAACATGATTGTAAGCTGGAAAGTAGTTTATGCCCCCCAAGACATGGAAACCCTTGTTTCTCAACTCTGTCTTCCTCCTGAAAGGTTTCTTTCTTTCTTTTAAATTTGTCTATTTTTTGACAGGCTTGGACTCATGTGACATAACCTCAAACTTACCACATAGCTGAGAAAGGCTTTGAATTCTTGACAATGATTTTTCTAATAAAGTACCCATCATCAATTCCAGGTCTTAAAGATCCCACATTCTAAAAGAATGCCCTATAAAATCCATTCTAGGACCCCAGGTTTGAATTAATCCTTTACTTTGTGGGATGGGTAACTGAGCATTTGTTATAGATAGGCATGAGACAATTCTTGCCCTTTATACACAAGGACACTGATGCTAGGGAGATCAGTTCAGATTCTTAGGCCTTGTAACTAAGAACACCAGTCAGTCTAGGTAGGAGTGTACAGGACTTATCTAACCTGTGTCAAGGCCCTGGGTTCAATTCCCAAAATTGCCAAAAGAAAAAACTAGAACACTAGATGCTGGAAGGCATGTTACATGCCTTTAATCTCAGTTCTCAGGGGGAAGAGGAGGGAAGATTCTGTGAGCTCAAGGCTAGCCTGGTCTACATACACATAAATTTTTAAATGAAAAATGTACAAAGCTTTAAAATGGTATTCTTTGCATCAATATACCTTGAATACATAGCTATCTTTATTTACTTACTACTATTTTTTTTTACTATTTTTGGAAGACAGGGTCTCAATATGTATCTCTGGATGGCCTGGAACTCTATATAGACTAGGCTGGTCTCAAATTCATACAGGTCTACTTGCCTCTGCCTCCCAAATGCTGGGACTGAGCTACCATGACCTACTGGTATTCTCATCATTTATAAGTGCTACCAGCACATACAACATCAAACACTTGTGGAGATTTCTTCAAAATGTATGTTTGCCTGGTGGTGGTGAATGCCTGTAGTCCCAGCACTTGAGAGGCAACGGCAGGTGGATCTCTGTGAGTTCCAGGCCAGCCTGGTCTAGAATTCCAGGACAGCTAAAGAAAGCTACACTGAGAAACTCAGTCCCTAAGAGGAAAGTATGGAGAATCATTTGCTTTGGGTAGAGGAATAGCTTTCTGCTGATAGGAGGCTCAAATGATGAATGATGGCCCATAAGAAGTCTTATCACTGATTTTACACACAATTTGAACAACTCTTACTTGATGTAGGTTTCCTTAAAGATTGAGTGGAATAAAGTGTGCAATTACTTTATGAATCTTTTTTTGTTTTGTTTTGCTTTGTTGTTTTTTTGAGACAGGGTTTCTCTTTATAGCCCAGGCTGTCCTGGAACTCACCCTGTAGACCAGGCTGGCCTTGAACTCAGGAATCCACCTGCCTCCGCCTCCCAGTGCTGAGATTAAAGGCATTCGCAACCACTGCCCGGCTACTTTATGACTCTTAACACAGCTGGAGTTTCAGATGGATAGCTAGAAGTGCTTAGCTGGGTGGTGAGAATGTTGGCTCTCCTGGCTATGGGGATATGCCATGAGCTTTCATTATGTCATGTAACTGAAAGCCATTGGTAACTGAAGCCATTGTTGCCATGGGAAGCAATGACAATTTGAATGAGGTAATTTAAAGTGGACCATGGAAATCTGAGTGCGGTTGCCTGCTCAATACACAAGATCTTGTGTGTGTGTAGACCTTGTACTTGGATGGCAGGGGTCTGTTCCCTTCAGGGTAAACGACAAACAGGTAAGAAACTATGTCCTAATTTAATGGTGGAATGTTTTTAAAAATAAATTTCAGTACAGTGCCACAGAAGGAACAATTTAGTGACATTATCGTGTGATCATTCTAAAGATATTATTTGAATAGCATCATATTAGAGTAAAAAGAAAGTAGGGTGCTTTCTAGAACTTTGTTTTTCAATTTCTAAGACTCAGACATTATATACAATTTAAGAATTCCAAATCCTGTCAATATCATCTGTTCAAGGTTTATTTCCAGTGATCTTACAACCCCAAGCCCGGTCGTAGTTACTTGTCACGAACCCCAATCACATACATTTAAAAAAAAATGTCCACATCCTTTTCTATAATAAGTGAAGGAGAGTATGTAGTATAAAATTGCACAGGGCTGGTGTCCTGAACAGAAACCTAGTCTGGGTTTTTTCTCACAGGCGTGACCTCTGCTCCAAGCACGTAATTGCTAGAGGGAGGAACAAGTGTCAGCCCAAAGGAAAACCCTATTAGGGAATTTTTTTTTTCCCCTTTCTTTTTAAACCGATCACTTTTGGGGAGGAGTCAAAGTCCTCGCCAGGAGAGTACCATCTTGTTCCCCCAACACCGGCCACCTCACCCCTCAGCCCTTTCCCAAAGCCCTCCTGGGAAGAACTTCCCCTGATCACCCCGGGTTCCACCCGGCTCAGTGATCCCCCAATCCCGCCGGGCTGCCTCGGCTCCGCCCGGCGCCGGGTCCCCAGGCCACGCCGGGGTCGCTCGGGGCTCCGGGGCCGCGGCCCCCAGGTGCTGCGGGGGAGGGGCGCGGGGCGGGGCGGAGAGGAGGAGTGGCGCGGAGCGTGTGCGGCCGGGGAAGCCATTGCCTGGTTAATAGTTGCTGTTGCTGCACTTCCGCTTCTCTCCCAGCGAGAGCGAGACACGAGTGGCCAGGCCCAGCCGCAGCCGCAGCAGCAGCCGCGGCGGCGGCACGAAGCAGCCAGACACAA